ATTAAAAGGCAAATTGTATAAATAACCCCACCCACACCTGACCACAAAAACCCTAGCCGCCAGTGCCTCGTCGGAGAAGAAGAACCAGACGCCGGAGGAGCCGGCCGCCGCCACCCGTCGCCGCATCGGGGAAGTTTTCGACCACCGATTGAGGTAAATTTTCTCTCCCTTGCTCGTTTTTCAATGCTGAGTCCGCCTATGGCCAAATCGGAGCCAAACCATCGACCAAACGGCTGGAAAACCCAGCCGAAGCCCAGTGGCGCTGCCGCGCCCCTCCTCGATTTTTGCCTCCGATGAAGCCCTTCCCGGCCTCCGTTTGATACAATTTTTATACCACTGTGATCACCGTTCTTTTCTCTACAGGTTGATCGGAGCCAAACATCAAAACGCAACTCACGCCGGAGGAGCCGCCGCACCAGAGAGCACCGCCGCCGGTAAGTTTCGGTTTTTCGTGATTTTTTGGCCCACCGAGGGCCCTAGGGTTGTTTTATCGTAGAGACCGATGCAAGTGTGGCTGAATTTGGCCGGAAACGACCGAAAACGGTCAACCCGAGGCGAATCGCCGCCGCTCGCCGGAGCACGTCTGAGCCGCCGTGCCGAAATTGCGATATTGGCCGAAAGGGGCCCTAGGTCTGATTTGGAATTTTTTGGGACACGTGCAGGTACCGGTAGTGCGTTTCAGTTTTTCGTAAAAAATTCGGAGAAATTAGGGACAGCCTGTAGGCGCACTGTAGAGCCGTATTCAGACCCCGAAACAAGTAAGGACCCCTCACCCTATTTCCTATCACGGTATTAAAGCTAAATAAATAATTAAACTGTACTGTGTGACTTTATAGATGTATAATTGATTAAGGTTGCCAATGGAGCCCGAGTCTGATACTGTGTTGGCCTGTTATTGTTTGATTTAATTTCCAGTATTTAATACAGCATGATGTCTGATGTATTTATTTTATGGTCTCGTATGCATGAATCATTGTTTCTTTTATTATGGTTTGTATTATGATGAACCCGATACTGTGTTGTTTTGTTTGGTGTCTATTACTGGTTTACACGTTTGTGTATGATTGGATGGTTGAGACCAAGGAAAAATGCAAAAAGATTATGTGAATTGATAAATAGAAAATGTGGACAATCTGACTAGATATCCTGGGAGATGGTGGACGGACCGGGTCCGTAGGGAACCCTACCGGGAACGTGGTCTCTCATACCGGACGGGGTATGGAGACCTTATGTGTTTGGCACCCATACCGGATGGGGTATGGGGACGGCCCGTTTCACCCTCATACCGGACGGGCTATTGAGGTTCTTGGTTTTGGCGCTCATACCGGACGGGGTATGGGGACAGCCTTGGAATCAGATTATAAATGTTAATGGTTCACGTGTAGATGGGACCCCCTATGGATCCCCAGGGATACTAGTAGGCTGGTAAAAGAGGAAATCTGTTTCCTGATGATTGAAATGTAAATGTGTGATATATGTTACGTTATAAAGTGTATATGATTTCATGATATTTTAAGGTTATTATTTTCAGATGTTGTTTTCATGGATCTCGTTGAGGTAAGTAGACAGTAAAGGATTTTATTATTGATAAAAGAACTTGTTATAAATTATGCTCCATTGATCATTTTGTTTTATACCCACCTTTACTCCCGTGGCGGTGAGATAGTGTGATGTCTTTACTGGACTGGTGTAACTCATTCCTTATTTAACTATTTCATATCATGAAGACATTGTTCCCGAGCCCGTTCCACAGGAAGACGGCGAAGGGGACGCTTGAAGACTCCATAGTTATATTTGTAGTTCTTATTTCGAGTATCTCTTTTAGTTAGTTTATTCTTTCATGTTTTGAGTTCGTTTTAGTTATTATGTAAGGGATGCAAATCAAAATTTTTATTACGCTTCCGCATTTGATATTTTTAATACTTATATTTCATTTAAATTTTCGGGGCCGTTACAAATTACGTAATTATAATTTACTATGTTGTCTATGAATGACAAATCTCAAGTTAGTAGACTCTTTCAAACACACTTTTAGACAGTGAATTTTATTTAAAATAGATCAACCCACACACATTGTGACACATGTAGTAAAACTGTAATTTACTCTACTTAATTAGAGAACAACCATATATATATATATATATGTATGTATATCATATAATCCTGACTCCTGCAATAACTTTTCATATTTTGGAGTCCATCTGGTACGTGTTACTTTATATACGAGGTTATATAGGTTAAGAAGTTAGAGGAGGGAGGCAACTATGAGCTTGAAGTCGTCAAAATCAACAGCTCCATCTCCATCTGCATCCATCGATTCAATAATCGCCTGGCATTCCTCCATAGACAACTCAAGTATCAAATTCAAGTCATCTGCCGTCATACTCTCGAACCCTTCTTCATCAAAAGCTTCCATGGCACTTCTAAGAGATTCGGCAAGACCACCATTCAGCTCCATCTCCTTCGTGTTCATCTCCAGGAACTCCTCTATGCTTACCAGACCATCCCTGTTCCTGTCTCCTTGCTGCATCATTCTCGTAACTTCTCGCTCGCTTGCTCCATAACCCAGCGAACTCAGTGCCCCACCGACCTCTGCTACATTAATCAACCCGTCATCGTCCGCGTCGAAGCTTCTAAATGCTTCAACCAGACTCAGGACTTGACTCAGTGCCTCAGTTTCAGCACAGAGGGATCCACTTTGAGCCATCCAAATTTGTTTAGAAATAGTGAGGTACTTATGTTGCTTGGTTAATGTGTTGGTAGCTATAAATAGAAGAATGGAGACAGAACAATCTCTTCTTTATTCCTTTTCCCTGGATTCTTTTATGCAGATATAAAGTTGAGATAAAGAATGAAAATGCAAATTCTTATATGCTTAGTTAAAGTCGCTTTTGTTATCCTCCACTTCAAGGAATAATAATATGTGTTACGTACTGAGTATGACAATTATAGTTCGATCTCATCTGACATTTCTTGATCAGTGCCAAACCAGAATTGATTGGTGTTAATTTTCTTAATTTAATATATAATATATGTCTGAAATAGTCATTGTTCAGTTTATAAATTATTGGTGTATTATCTTATAATTTTAATTTTAATATGCTGATAAAACCAATACTAATTGTTTTGTAGAAGGAGAAGCGTTTATAAATCCAATGGGCTTTTAGAAGTGGCCCAAACCTTAAAAATAGGACTTATGATTTATTGTATTGTCTTTGTAACCCACTCGAATAAAATTAAAATTTAGAGTATTAAATTTATGATATTTTTTAAAAATTTTCTGAAATCAAAGTTTTAATTACATTTTTATCAATCTAATGGTTCTTACTATAATTAATTAGAAAATTTAGCGACTAAAGTTTTTAATAATTTAAAGATTAAATTAGTAATTTGCCTAATATTAAAATTTCTGCGGGCTGAGGGACCTTATCTCAAACGAAATGGGGGGGGTCCAAATTGGGCTAATATATGATATTATTTGTGGCCCTTCTCACTTCTTATTGTCTTTTGTTTTTTTTTTTTTTTGTTCTCCATAAATTGTTAAAAATTAAAAATAAAAAGACAGAAACAATAATGACGTAATAAAAAAATATACAAGTTGGTTGCATCTGGAAATAATAATGAAAATTGTGATCTGTAAAGGTGGATGCCAGATGAGCATTAAAGTTAATACTCCATCAAACCAACAAACAAACAGCAGACTTGTTTTTTCATAAACCAAGTGGGTGTAAGCTGTGGGCCAAACAGGGTTTAATTTCTTAATTAATTATGGTCTACATACTTAATCCCCTTGACTTTGGGATTCCTTTTTTTTGCCACCCAGATTCTCTACCATTTCAATTTTTATACGCAACATATAATAACAAAAAAATATATATTTTCCCAAAAAACAAAAAAAGAGACCCTATTGATATTTACTTGTCTTCTTAATAAAAGTTTACCACTTTTTTTAAAAAAAAAAAAATTATTTCATAATCAATATGTAATTAAGTATATTTCTACTCATTTAAAAATATCTTTCAAGAATCAAGTGACATAATCAAGATTGATTTTGCTTTCCTCACCCAAAAAAATGACATATCAGAACAAAAGAAAGAAGAAATTTTAGAAAGGCCAGGTTTATTAAGATAAAATTTCCCAATATTTAAAAAATAAGGAGGAATGTTCCTTTCCTCTTAATTTCTTCTTCTTCATTGTTTTTTTTTTTTTGTAGTAGACCAGGAGCTATAAGGAAATTTCCTCACTAATTCATTAATTTCTAATAATAAGGACAAATTAGATTCAAATGATCACGTAACATAAATGGGTAATTTGAAATTTTGAATAGAATTATATAATTCAATAACCAATTGAACCAAAAAAATTCTACAAAAAATGTGTTTGAATATTTTCAAATAGAAGAAAGATTTATTTAGAATTCTGAACCAATTATATGGATGATAGTTTCCAAGCTTTTCCTATAAGATATTTCAATTAAAATAAGTTACACATCAATGTCATTAAAAAAATAAAATTGACTAAGAAAGAAGTAGATGTGCCACATAAATTATGAATTAAATCTTAACGAGTAAAATTAACTAGTGTTTTACGTTATTAAATAAAAATTATTTTGTTAATTAAAATATTGCAATGGATTAAAAAAATTTATTTATATAAAATAATAAAGAGGGTGAAATTTCGTTTTCATGGAAAAGTCGAAAAGGGCAATATATATGCATGCTTGTTATTTGCAGAATATGGTCGCTGCTGCATTCTATTGGTGAGAAATGTTCTCTTGTCACATTGCATGTTGAAGATCTCGTTAATCAGATTTTTTTTTGTTTTATATAAATATTTATGTATTTGAAGAATCAAACTTGGTTTATAGAATTTACTCAGTCAGAATATTTTAATTATTGGTCACTTCAGCTATCAAATCACTTTTACTTAGGTTATATATGTTTGAATAGACGTAAACAACAATGGAAGGAGAAAATATTTTTAATATTATTAACGCCATAATGTTAATAAAATATGCTTTAAAAGAGTATGTATAAAATAAATATAAAATTATAAAATTGAAAATAGGTTTCAGTATAAAAGTGTGTGCATATGCTTGAATCACTTGATCCCCTCTTTTATTTGTATTAATTAATTTATTCTTTAATTTAATATTACGAATTTAAATTTAATTGAAAATACAAAGTTTATCATTATTTTAATGTATTATGAGTTAGCACTATCAAGTTTATAATACTTAATTTAATGCATCCAGAACTTAGTTTTTAAGTATTAATAAAGTTATGATGATTAAATTAAATTTAATTCGAGTAATACAATTATATTATATTTTGTTGATGCGTCTTGAATTTTGGTGATATTTATCTGTATTCTGTTAATAATTATTTGAATTTTTTTTGCATTTATTCTGAAGAATATTTGACATATATTCTTTTATTTGTGAAAAACTTTCCTAGTCTCTCTATAAATAAATTTGCTAACTTATTGGTGATATACTCTAAAATTACATAGTGAAAATCTTACCTGTGGATGTAGACACACTGTCAAACCATATAAAATTTTTATATTTTTTTATTTCTACTTTTATTTTGATATGATTGTCTATGCTTTATGGAATAATTTTTTCGAACAAGTGGTATCAGAGCTTAGGTTTAAACACAAGTTAGTAAGAGAAAGTTAGAAGAAGTTGAAAAGTCACTGTGAACCTGTTCGACCAGACCTGTACAACTAAATAGTCTCCGGTGCGGCAGTTTTTGGCGAAGAAGACGAAGCACAGGCATATTAGATTTGACCTGTGTGTTTCCTGCACGCGGCGGCAGAAAAAACTCAGTTGTTGCCATGGTGCGAGACAATCTGTCGGTGTGACCAAAGCATATCGAGAAGAGGGAGTGTTCGGCTTGGAAAAGACAATTGGTCCGCAACCACTGGAAGAAAAACGAGATCGAGTCCACGTGAGGAGGGCCAGAGAATAGAAACCAAAGGCGGATCCGCGACATCCAACTCCATCTGTGCACGAAACCAGAGCTTGAGAGGGAGAACACGACCCGAAAAAGACGAACCAGCGTAGCAGCACCTAGTTGGTACGAGGCCCGATTTGCGGCATTCCTGGCAATTTTTCGGCACGTTTTCACTAGATTCGTGCCAGATCCATCGAGTCGCACGTTTCTGTGCATTTTTTGGTGTTTTTTGACAACGACGAGAGGCAGCTGGTGGCAACGCTTCTGACAGCATGTGGAGGAGCGTGGCAACGCGTGGAGTCGAGTGCGGTGTTCCGATGGTTGCGTTCGGTAGTTTTTTATGCAATGGTGACTCCCTATGAGTGTTTTTTATTTTCTAACAATGTTTTTTCTTTCTGTTTGATTTTTTAGTACACAATTTAGGAATTCGAGATGACATCCAAAACGTATAAAATAGAGAAGTTTGATGGCAGCACGAGTTTCAGTCTATAGAATATTAGAATAAGATCGTCTCTGGTGCTACAAAATTTATAGGGGATAATTGAAGAAAGATATATTGAGGGTATGAAAGAGTCAGAAAAGGCAAATATACAAGATAAAGCCTTATGTGCGATTTTTATGAGTGTCAATGATAATGTTCTATGAGAGATTGTTGAAGAGATTTTAGTTTCAGCTGCGTAGAAGAAACTAGAAGAGCAATACTCTGTAAAATCCCTAACGAACCATGTTTATCTAAAGAAAATATTGTACAATTTCAGAATAAGTGAAGGTATGTCCATTAAACAGTACCTTAATAAGTTTAATTCTTTAATTATAGACTTGAATAATATAGATATTAAGGTTGAAAATGAGGATCATGCATTGATTATTTTGTGTTCATTACCACCTTCTTATGAGACTTTTGTTGATATTTTATTGTATGAAAAAATTAGTATTTCACTAGATGATGTTAGCAATGCACTAAAATTGAAAGAGTTACAAAAGAACTTTACTGAGTATAGAACAAAAGGGGAAGGACACAGAGAATGGGCAAATCAAAATGTAGATTTAAAATAAAAATTGTTTTGAGTGTGGGAAAAATGGTTACTTTAGGAGAGATTGTCCTATGCTGAAGAGAGAAAAAGAGCAAAAGAGTAATGCTAATATAGTCGACAGAGATAATTCTAATGATAGTAATAGCAGCAGTTTCGAGGTAATTCTATATTTGAATTTAGATCATAAAAAGAACTCTTGAATTCTTGATTATGGTGCTACATTCTACGTGTGTCCACATTAGCATTTATTTGTTACTTACAAGCATATGAGCGGTACCATGTATATGGGATATGACAGTTTGTTATCTGTAGCTGGAATTGGTAATATCATATTAAGAATGTTTGATGGTATCATCAAGACTATTGAATGTTGGCTTGTTCTTCAAATAAAAAAGAATCTGATTTCTCTTTCTACATTAGCAACTCAGAGTTACAAATGTTATACAGAAAATAATACTTTTAAAGTGTGTAAAGACTCCGAGGTACTCATGAAATGCAGTTTAGAATCTAAATTATAAGTTCTTCAAGAAAATGTAGTTTCAAGTGAAGCTATTGTAGCATTAGGGAACAGTAATCAAAATCAATTATGGTATCTACATTTGGGTCATATGAGTGATAAGGGATTATTTGTTTTAAGCAGACAAAGTTTGTTGAATGGGTATAAAGAATGAGCTTTGGGTTTGTATGAACACTGTGTTTGGTAAGTAGACTAGAGTGAAATTCAACAAAAAAAAAAGTAGTGCACAAGACCAGAGGTAAGTTGGATTATGTTCATTCTGACTTATGGGGTTCATATAGAATTTTCTCCAAAAGTGATATCAGGTATTTTATGATATTGATTGATGATTACTCTAAAAATATGCGAGTATATTTTTTAAAATCCAAAGAATAAACATTTTCAACATTTGTCAAATAAAAAACCATGATTGAGTAGCAAATAGAGATAAATGTCAAGTATCTTATGACTGATAATGAAATAAAATTTTGCAATCATGAGTTTGATGATTTCTGCAATACATAATATATAGTGACACATTGCACTTGTGTTAAAACATCACAACAGAATGGTATTGCATAACGCATGAATAGGACACTTTATAATAGGGCAAGAAACATGTTGTCTCATTTAGGTGTGAGACAAGAATTTTAGGCTGAGGTTGTAAATACTGCTAGTTTTTTGGTTAATAGATCTCATTCCATAGCTATTTAGAGTAAAACTACTTTTGAGGTATAGTCTGGGTCACATACTTATTACTCTCAGTTGAGAATGTTTGGTTATCTTACTTATGCTCATGTTAGGGATAGTAAGCTTGAGTATACGGCAAAGAAGTGCATATTTATGAGGTATGCATATGGAGTTAAAGGCGACAGGTTGTGGTGTAGTGATCCCAAGTCTTCAGGGTTGACTATCAGCAGAGATGTGATATTTAATGAGTCTGCTTCACTAGACAGTCAGAAGGAAAAAATAATAGCAGAATCAGATCACGGTGTCAGAGAACAAGCAGAGTTAGAAGTTCAGTCCAATGGTCAACGGAATGAAGTGCATGATCTTAATAAAAAAGTTGATAGTACACCCGATCAACAACAACCATATAATATTATAACAGACAGGGAGAGGAAACAAATTAGACAACCACAGAGGTATGAGAATCTGGTTGCATATAACTTGTCAGTTGCAGGGCTAGTTAATTTACAAGAATCAAGGAGTTCAGATCCTGATTGGATGATTGGTGTTGTGTATGAAGAACTAAATGTCATTTTGTTCAGGGATCAGATAGCAAGTTTAGCTGTGGTCTAAACTTGGTTGAAGTATATGATACTCAATAGTGTCCTAGTGGGGGTATGTTGGCAAGACGGTGCAACAAGATGGTTAGTTGCTTTGATAATTGAGGAAATTCAAGCTAAGAGGAAGATTTGTTGATATGTCTCGAATTTTTTGTGATATTTATTTGTATTCTAGTGATAATTTATTTAGATTTTTTTTTTGTATTTATCTTAAAAAATATTTGATGTATATTTTATAGAGTTTTTATTTGTAAAAAACTCTACTAATCTCTCTATAAATAAGTTTGTTAAATTATGATAGTCTCTCATATTACATAATAAAATTCCTTTTTGCTGGTCTTGCCTGTAGATATAGACATATGGTCAAATCATGCAAAATTTTTGTGTTCTTTTTTTTTTTAGTTTTTATTTTGATATGATTGTGCATGTTTTAAAGATTAATTTTAATGTTAAAAAAATATTTTGAAATAGTTAGATTTTATTCATTAAAATATAAACAAGTTAAAAAGACTCCACCTTATTAATTTTGCTTTGGAAAAAGCTTACTATTTTTATCTAACTATTGAAATTAATTAAAAATGTAAGATATTTTAGTAAATTGACAAATCTTATAGAAATAATTAATTATCATAATGTAATGACTTAAAAATAATTAATTAAATTGGAAAGGACAATGGGTAAGGAGTGGAGGAGAGTGACAGGAGCGATGATTTTGTCTGTCGCAGAAGTGAAATAATTGAATGTTGTCATTGGCCCAATGTCCTTGGAGCCATTTCCTATTCCTCTGGATTTTTTTATTACCAAGTTCCAACTGACATCCCACTCGCCATTTTTAATTTCTTATTAATTATCACTGCTTAATCTTATATATATATATATATATATATATGTATGTACGTATCACATAAATAAATGTTCTCTTTCTTTTTTATTGGCATTGTATTTATATGCGTGGACTATATTTTTTTTATTAATTTTAATTATCTTTTTGTTATTATTGGGTAGCTAGTCCGTTCATGTCCCGTATGAATTATAAAAGAACATACCAGAGTGATGTTTGTAATATGTTAACTAGACATTTAAGAACTTTAAATAAGTTTAAACTCTTGTATCTTATAGCAGTATTGGTACGTATTTTTAAATTGTTTTAATACTAGAGCTTTATCTTATTCCCTAATTATAATACTAATTATTCCACTAGTAAATTAATTATGGTTAAAAAATAAGAAAAGAAACTTAGTCACATGCATACATAATTTACAAAGATTCTTCACTTATTATTAGATTCGTATATTAAAATAAATATATTATTATTTAATTATTTTAATATTGTAAATATCAAAAGTCTATAGTATTAAGAAATTTAAATGTTTACTTCCTATTCATGATTTATTTATATGAATTATACGTAGTACGTGTACTAAATATGTTATTATGTAATCTTACGAATTATTTTTATTTGATTTCGTCACATTACATTCATATTTTTTATTATTGTTACTCAAGAGACCGGCGAGTCTCAAACATTTAAAAAATAATAATTTTAAAAAATAAAATAATTGAAGTAGTAAATTATTTAAATGAATTTTAAAGTTAAGTAAATTTATATATTAATTATTTATACTCACAAGTATTGGTAACGAGTAAATATGTCAATGAAAGCACAAGAATTAATTAATCCCACGTTGAAAGAATCAAATGGCATCTTGATTCAAAACCATTGCTTACACTTTAAATAGGGAATAAGAAAACCATAAATATCAAGCAGCCAAATACGCTTCGATTCATATTATTTTATTGAAAATGTACTTTTGAATTGTTTAATGCAGGACAGACCGAATACGAGTTGGTGATTCAAAGGTCAGAACCTCAATAGCTGGAGAAAATTTAATTGCGATTGTTATTTACAATGAGAACAACAGTACAAAAGTAAAATTTGATTGTTGTGCGTATATACTTTAAATAAATATGCGCATAAATTAAAAAATATTTTTAGTGTACTAAAAAGAAACATTTATTTAAAATAAATTATTGGGAAGAAGATAATAATGGGAACAAAAAATAATAATAATAATAATTAATGGTAGAGAAAGACGACAAAAAAGAGGATGGAAATTAGAGGAGCTGACCCTTCCGAACCCCAAACAACGGCGTGCGCAGGGAGCGGTTGGTTAGATTGGGTCACCGCAAGGGTTGCTTCTCTCGGACGCGGCGGGACACAACAACCTCTTTTGGCTCCTACTAACGTGATCACGTGCTTGTCTTTTTTTAACTTGTTCCTACACTTCCTTCCTTTTCAATAATATAGGAGATAAATATATTTAATTTTTTAATTAATTCATGCACTTTCATGGTATATAAAAATAGATACATGTCACTTTAAAATTTTTTTTTAAATAAAAAAATCTTCTATATAACTTTTAATTGTATATCTACAAACTTCTAATTGTATGTCTATGTATCTACAAAGCGGCGTGCATTGACATAGGAAGAGTATATCTACAAACTTTCTTTGAAAATTTAGCACCACATAATTTTGGACCCATTGTTAAAGCTTAACTCTTTTAAGTAGCAATGGAAGAAACTAAGTATCATCAAGTGACCAATCTACATACATACCACTATTTGGAAATAGTGGCCAACTATCTAAACGTGACAGTATGCCATACTTCCTTACCTGATTGTGACCATGAATCCCGACTTTTGTTTTTGTTCAATCAAATGCCTAACATTTTTAATTGAATTAAATTATAGATTTTTCTTAACGGCCCAATTAATTATATGTTAATTTTATTGCTCGAGGTATATTATATCATTAAAAATAAACACACAGTATATCATATTATCAACAAAATTAATGATGTTAATCGGATTAGTTAGAGCGTTAATTGAACATAAATTATAAGTTTTTAAGTAAATAAAATTTGTCACTGAAAAAAGTAGTAAATAAAATTACCATATTTATAGAGTCTGAAATCAATATATATTTTATAAATTTTCTCACCATCTAACTTGACTTTTATAAATTATTATTTCCTTTTGAGAGTGACCTCATAAATTATTGATCCAATCTCCTCGTCGCCAGTAATTATTATTACTGTGTGGAGAAAGATCTGATGCTTACGTATCATAAAATTTATGCATGCATGTATTTACTTCATATACGTCTTCTTTTTTGGCATGTAATTCAAAACTGACCACCAAACTGATAGAAAAACGCGGCCAAAATATTGAATAAAAAATACGTATTTATATACATATATACAAGAGACTCTAGCCAAGAGATAATTAAAATAATAATTACGTATATATACAGGTATATTGGCATTTTTTCAAATTATTTTTCCATCTCATTTATATGTCAATTGCATGGAGAGACTGTACAAGAAGATATTTTCTTTGAACATGATGAATAACAATGATACAATATTTCTCTAAATCATCAGATTGGACGATGACCATCCTCAAAAGAGATTCATATATACAAGCTTCAAATTATTAAACAACAATTTCCTTTTCCTTTATCTTTCAAGAAAAGTAAATTAAGTGCATTACAAAAGGGACGGACGTAATTGCTTTGACAAAACTAAAGAGAAAATAAAATACAACAAGAAGATGAGATTAATGTACTAATTATATACATATACAAGGGTGCATGGGTCACCTTAATGTCGACTGATTCAACATCTCCTCCTTCAGAACACCAACAACGAGTCCTTTATATCATAATTCATCTTCTCCAAATTCGGCTGCACAGCGAACTGAATCATGGGTGGTGGTCCACATGTCAATGCTAGCGCTTCGTCTGATCCCATCGGTACATGCTCCCTCATGATACTCTCCGTGATGAACCCCGTACTGTATTTCCACCCTTCTTTAATCGCCTTCTCCACCACGTACCACACCTTCACTCTCTCGTGTTTGCTAGCCCAAGCGTCCAGCTCTTCCCTCAGCAAGATGTCATCTTCCGTCCGGTTCGCGTACACTACGTACATCTCCGTTTCGTCTTCTGGGTCCTTCAGGATGGCCTGCATCACTTGGTAGATCGGCGTGATTCCGGTGCCGCCGGCGAGCATTGCCAGTTTCTTCGCGAACTTTGGCTTGCCGTGAACCATGAAGTTGCCGCGGCCCATATATTCGATGTGACCCAGGGGACCCTTCACGTCAAGGAAAGACCCTATTGGCAGCGAGTCTAGGTACTGTGACAGTAGACCACCGTTAGGAAACTTGGGGTGCATGCCCTTGAAGTAAATCTTCACAACTAGATCGAAGTAGCCCACTTCATCAATGCCGCTGGTTGGCGTGTACGCTCTCATGCACAGCTTGCCATCAATGTTGGCGCACAAGAAAATGTGTTTCCCAACTGGCAAGCCTAACACTTGATCCTCCGACGGCAGAGCGAATCGGAAGCGGCGTACGTCGTGGGATATCAAAGTTTTCTCAACGAGCTTGCATGGGATTTTCTCACGTGGAATGAGGGCTACACTTCTTACGGGCGCCGCGACTTCCTTGATAGGAGCCAAGTGGGTAGTGTTGGAGGCGCCATGCACGGAGTTGTTGGGGGAGGAGGCTGAGGAGTCCGAGACGTAGCCGGAGTTGATGAGCTCGCCGATTCGATAGTCCTCGAGCATTTTCTTGGCCTTATCTGAGTGGATGGCTTCGAATTCCTCGGTGCAGTCTGTGCCAGCATTGATGAGGATACTGTCAGAGCCGCCGGGATGATCCTTGAGGAAGCGAGTACAGTCGTAGATGTGGCCGTGGACGATGATCCACGCCGAGTCGGCGGAATTGTGCTTACTGACTTCTGACATGGAGAAAGTTTTGGAGGCCGTATTCATGAATGGAGAAGAGACACTCTTCTTTAAGGTCTGTGTGGTGTCCGATGACTTCTCGAGGTGGCGCTCCTTCGCCATCCAGCCTCCGGACTGGTTACCCGGTTGGGTCGGGTGCTCAAAAACGATACCAATTTCTCCTTTGTGGGGTTTGCACACGTTTGTTTTGACCCGGAACCAGCAGTTGTTCATCATTCCCTGCAACGCCATCGATTACAAACACTTATTACTTTTTTGTAACTAACCAGCTCGTATCAGTAAAATATTTTTATAAAGGTCAAAAAAAGATGTCGATTGTCGAAGTTTTTCTGTAAAAAAATTTAAAAAGAATTACAAAGTAATAACTAGTTTAGTGGCAATCAAGGTGATCGGTGTACGGAGCACCCTGTTTTTCGTTTTGGTAGTATTTGAGGGATTATACAGTGCATAGCGCATTAAAAAACTCCAGTAGTCAAGCACCAAGAATTACACGATCCGCGAGGTAATCGTGCAATCCACGTGTCAAAGCATAAGTGGTTAGTTTATTTATAAATAAAAATAAAAAGGATTTTAAGTTGAGGTTGACCCAAGAGCCAAGTTGGTGCTAACCATAACGTTCCAAATGAGCTTCTCCGGCTGGGTGTTGAGGGTCTGGTCCCAGGCTCGAACAGCTATCTCCTTGGCTCCAAGCAGGTCCAGCACCTCCACTTCCAAGGACCAGAAACACCAGCACCAGTACTTGCCATACTTGTTAGGCTTCTCTGGGTGGTCCAACGCGCACACTTGCCACGTTTCCCCACCGTCCATTGTAACCTCCACACGTGTCACCTTCTTGCCGCCCCCTGTCACGTGAACAAACAACGATCACTATCAAAAACCTCTTACATGCAACTTGAATGTCGCAGACCCAATTCATCGATTTTCATAATTAATGGGATTAAGATACATACAATTGGATAAATAGATTCTACTCCTAATCCCTCAATACGACAACGTTGCACGCTTTCATATAGTTGTGTTCAAAAAATAAGAGAGGACAATTGATGTTTTGCATATCGAAAGCACGCATTACGAAGTACCGTAACTAGGCTTACGTCCAGAGGGTTACGGTTTGGGTGCCGCTTGATTTCGTAGTTTATTGGCAACTAAATTCTAATGGTTGGGTTAGGGGGCATCATAATAAGTATGACGTCATTACCAAAAACAGCAGTAATAGTGATGTCAAATACAGATCTATTAAGGAAATAAAACTCACCAGAGTACGCATATCCCCTCAATGTGTATGGTCTCTGAGTTGTCCACGAGTTTATCGGTAAGATCTCCTCATGGCACGGCGTCGTTATCACCGAGTTTATGTTCAGTTCGTTGATTATGTACTCCGGCTTATACCACCAAGCTGCAATTAATCACTATAATTAACTATTTTTTTCTTTACAGAACTTTACTATGTATGAGATCTGGCCTGTTAATGTTAGATCTTGTACCTTCGGCGTTTGCGAGCTCCGCATCAACATGGGAGGGAAGTACCCGGTTGTCTTTGTAATGGTAATAATTTTCAGATTCCTGAGTGGCAACTATTATCCGTTTTAACCATTTTACCATGCGCCCACCAATAAATCCGGGAATAATTACCCTCACAGGAAATCCATGGTCAGGGCTTAAACGCTCGCCGTTTTGCATGTAAGCCAAGATGATGTCCCTTGAAGAATCCATAGCGTACTCTCTCTTGATGCTGGTACCATACTTGGACCCACCGCCACCCGGCAGATCCTCAGCACCTTCGAAGCACACATTCATTGCTCTACCCTTGCGGCTGATTATCCCGCAATGCTTTAGAACATCGCATAAAGCAACACCGCGCCACACCGAAGTAGAAACCCCGGCGGCTCCCCAGTTGAACCCAATGCTTTGCTTCACCATGTTCTGCTCCTTGCGTCGGTTGCCGGCGCAGACCAGCGTCACGGGGAACTCGCGACTAGGGAAATCGGATACGAGCTGCTCCATAGTGAAGCGCGTTGGGCGCTTCACAAGGCCCGTCACCTCTACGGTCCATTCAGCCCACGAGGCCCGAGGGACCGGGCCGTGATTTCGGACGTAATGGAGCGGAACCGGGGTGATAAATCCATGGTGCATGAGCCGGTTCAGGGGAGCCTCCGAGTTGAATGGGTGTTTCCCTGTGAGGCGGACCATCGAGGAGTTCCGCTCGATCCAGTTATCGGCCGTTCCTTCGTCTCGCGGGTCCAAGATCGACGGCTCCAATTCGGCGTTTGATTTGCGTATTAAATCCTTGTAGATGTCTCCACGCTCATTTTCGTCCTCGCTAGAGGAGTCATCATCTTCTTGGAAGGCGGGCGTTTTGGAGGGGAAGCCGTTGGTAGTGTTGTGGTAGTTGCGGATGCGAACCGGAGAATCGGTCCGGTGGGTGGGGGTAGGAGCGGGAGGCTTGTAGGAGCGAACGACTCCGTTTATGCCGGGCTCCAAGCGAGTGAACTGGCGTTTATCGACAGAGGCCGCCATTGGAGACTAACCAACTATACGGGATTAGAATATATTCTTGAATGGAAAATAGAAGGGAGACGAGCTCTTCCCCTTTCCGTCGTCTTCTCTCTTCAAATTTATTTTTTTTTTTTACTTTCTCAATCTTTAATGGGATCTTTCTTTCTTTGTGAGGTGCTCTGTATTTCCACACAGAGAGAGACGAAGAGAAGGTAAAGGCCTGGATGAGAATATATAGGGCTCGAGGAGGGTACAAGTTGAAAACGTGACGAACCGCGAAACAGGGCTCACTTGTCTGCGATTACGTATTAAGATCGAGCAACTGATGCATGTAAATCAGTTTTCATTTATTTTTTTCCAAACGAAAAGCGATGTCTCTAGTGGTTGCGGTGGGTCATGATGGGCTGTGTATGACCAGTCGGGTTTTAAGACTAGCGCCACAAATAAAATACGCGGTCCAATATATTTCCTGCCATATATATATATATATATATTTTTATATTAAAAAAAAAACCCCAAATAATATCTGTTACCAATTGATTCTGTCTTTTAAGTTTTTTTTTTTTTTGGTAATAATAATTATTAAAAAAATTATGCAATTTCATTTTTCGTCCATTTCGCAGTACGTATCGTTTTTAGTAAATTTCATTGAAAAATAGATTTTGTGATTTTTGGGGTTAAATAGTGATAGTGACGTGCATGTAGCCTTCGAATCCAAGTACTACACAACTTGTTATCTGTGGACTGCATGGTGTGTATGTGGGTCAAAGTTGGAAACTTTAGTTTAGTGCGATATTTATGTATTACCAAATTCCATTAATAATTCCACCCCAAAAAAATAATAATAATTAATCAGCCAAAGACTGGCGAGATAAAACTTCCCAAGTTGATTATAATACCTTTTAAAATCCCCAGTATTAATACATGGATTCCTTTAGATTTTCTTTTTTAGGACAATATATTAACATAAATCTCTAGAATGATCGAAATATGTTCATACGATCAGTTTTTATAAATATGTTCAGATTTTTTTCCCAATTATAAAATTCTCTTGAAATATTAAATGTGCAATGGATGCACAATTGGTATAATATTGGCAATTGTCAATTTGTATAACGTTGAGCCAAGAACCCGTGGATGGTGAAATCAAAATTGATAGTTACGAGTACGAAGGGTCGTGTTGTACGGTCCAGAGACACATTGTTGTATCCTCAATATTTAATTTAATTTAATTCTTTGCAATAATTGGGCCATTCATATAAATATATACACACACGCACACGTATATATACGTAATTACATGATTCGGGTATACGTATTTCGTTTGTTACAGTAATAATCTTTTTCCTCACATGTTCTCTGAATGGAGTCATATTATAATAATTACTTTACTTAGATTAGATCCAAAGATAATTAAGCTGTATAAAATACTTTTTATATTATATAATCAAAAATGTACTATTCACATGGTAACTTTATGCAGGTTATAACTTTTTATTCCCTGTCTCGAAAAAGAAAACAACTCCTTACTCCACATTATATATATGTGTATAGTTACTATTAATATTATAGTGCACCCACAGACTGAACTTTTTGTAGTGAGTATTTTGTCTCTCAACTTGGACAAGAATTTAAATATAAGCTAACTTCTCATTTTCCCGCATTATTTAATTTTTATACAAAATTAACAATTAAGTTATTATTAGGAACTATACATGTATTTATAAATGACGTATGAGGTGACATAAATATATTTTTTTATAAATATAAAAATTACATTAGAGTTATTATGATTTTTGGGTAATGATTGTAAGTGAATGTAGTAGCACTTAAAAGGTTTTTACCCAATTTATCACTTGTAAAGGAAGTTTTGTTAGGCATGCAATGAATTACAAGAGAAAGCAAAAATTTAGTGGCCGGCAGCTGCCCAAAAAATTCCAAAAATTGAAAAGAGTAATGTATTGCAAACGAAAGTAAGCATGTTATAAATATGTGAAAAATTGAATTTTGATGCCATTAATGGGAGTAATCCTCATAATTTAGGAAACCAGTTGGGGTGATTTAAAAGCACAAAAATAGGATACATCCCATCAATTCAAAATTACTTGTGTAATTGTTGGAAAAATAGGAACAGAGTTGGAGAAAGATATGTAAATAATGGGATTACAATGGAAATGAAAGCAACCCAAAGTAAATTCAGATTTAAAGTTTTGATGAGGGTAAATTCAACGTAGTAAATATAACGGGAAGGAAATCAAATTTAAATTTTGATTGAAACCCAAGATTTGATTTCATTCAGTCTAAAGTTGGTAAAAGAAATAGGAAGAAGATTCGGCGAATTTGCAGAAAAAAAAGAAGAAGGTAACTGGGGAAGGCTAATGCTAATTAATTAAGAAATAGGAAAGTAAAATTTTATGGGAAGAATAAAAGAGGAAAGAGGGTGTGAAGTGGCGCATGGGATATCCCAACAGGCAAAGAAGGGAGAGAAATAAGGAAGGAGGGATGGGTGGTAACAAAAATAGAAAGGGTCAGACAAGCCTGGGTGGTAAACTGGGGGCGGCTAATTGTGAACGCAGGGGCTAATCGAACTCTCGCCTTTTCGTGATCTTTGGAGCCACTTTTCTCTTCTCTTCCATTTCATATATATATATATATATATATATATATATATTTATATATATATTTATATATATCTTTTATTTATTTATAATTAGAAAAATTATTATTTAAAAAAAAAAAAAAAGAAAGAAAGAAAAAAGAAGCGTCAAACTTGAGATATGGTCCATAGAATGAGGGGCCAACTTTTCACAAAACAATGGGACTCAATCACCTTCTTTCACTCCCTCCTCCTCCTCACATTTTTTTTTTCTTTAAAAAATATTTCGAATCTCGTACCCAAAAAGTACCATTTTATTACTCGGAAAAAATTCCAAGATAATGTTCTTTTATTTTCCCCTTTCTTTTGATTCAGACAATTATTAAATAATAATAATAATAATTACAGGAAAATATGTTTATGTGTGTGTGGGTATGGAGTACTGGTGTTAATTTGTCTGGACACAGATTTGTAGCTGCTCAAAATCAAAACGATGCGCATAAAACCAATTGCCCTCTGCCATTAGATTTTTCTTTGTTTTGGCGCAAGTTATATATTTCACCAAGCATGCACCACTGATTTGTTTTTTTTTTTCAAAAAAAATCATAAAAATGACATGTGGCAAAATCTGATTGGTTTTGATTATAGCGAGAAGATTGGTTCTCACTATCATGACTGATTTGATCATTTTTTTTTTAAAAAAAAAATAATAATTATTTCATTCAATCATAGTTTAATCTTCCATATGCCAATTGCCTACCCTACTCCATTAATTTCTGAATCTCATAAAGAAATATTGAATTTTAATAATCAAATTTAATATTTAAAACCCAATTGAAATTGCAGTCCTTTTTATTTAATATTTGGGTAATTTATTACATTTAATGCCTTTATATTTTATTTTTGGATATTCTCAAATTGTGATTTGCAAATCTAACCAAAAAATCTGTGGAGGGTCAAAATCGAAAATCTAAAAAATAAAGAGAATCCAGGGAGCTCCAACCCAATGATGATGCCCGAAGACTAGAGAGAGGAGGGTTTATGCAACTTTTAGAATCTTAAATCAAATTTTAGACTTGCAAACATCATCAACAGCCAGCAACCTTCCCTTTCTTAAAATAAAATTATAAAAATAAAAAGGTTCATTTATTTTATATATGGGCCCAAAACATTGCTACCCTTTTTGGTATATTATATTACAAATATCTTTGGCAGCTCCAGCTTTAATTAAATTAAATCATTTTCTTATACTTTGGAAATGGGATACCAATTTGTAATTTAAAAAAAAAAAAAACCATTTTTTAGCTTTTTTTTTTTCTCTTTTTCTTTTTAATGTCTTCGTGCCGAACCTAGGTAGATTAATCTTTGTTTATAGCTTTAAGTTTGGGTTGCCCAATTGCAATTGATATATGATCTTTAGAAAAAGAAATTAAATCATGATTAATTAAATCCGCCAATATGCTTTGCAACCACTTAGAACCCACTTGGAACACATTTAGGCTAAATCGAAGTAGAGCCACCAAGTAATAACACGAAATTTACACTATGCTAGAAACATATGGGTACATATAATTTCAGGCATACCAATTATGTTGACATCTACGAAATTATGTATGAGTTTGAAAAAATAATCTCTAAAATATTAGGTAGCTGATGTTAAACTAGATAAAATATTTTATAAAATAAAAAAGTAGTTTTAAATAATAATTAATAATTATTTTTTATTGAACGTAAAAGAAAAAAAATGGTATAATTTGTTGTTGTTTTTTTTTTTTAATCATTGATTATAACGTAAAGATAAGTAATTTTTTATTTTTCACCTACAAGCATCCAAATTTTTATTCATTCGATCTCATAGATAGTTCGAACTCTGTAGCAACAATAATTAATTTGAGTCTTAATGGTTTGTTGAAGAACCCTACATTTTCTGATCGGTTCAATATGTGTAACTTCTTTTATGTCAGTATATCTTATATTTTTTACTTGATTGTTGTTGAGTAGCTCTTTGAACATTAAATTGATAACTGCAAAAGATAATTTTAATATGACTAATTTACTACGTCACCTGCTACTCTAGCTAATTGTTCATTATTTTCAGGTGTTATTTCTTTTGTTATGTATGGTTGTGCCCATTGACATATAGATTGAAGTAAATTCTTATTTTTGATCAATCAAACTCCCTTATGAAACCATACTAGTTTTTTTAAGCATATAAAAAAATTCTTGTAGAATCGATAATAAAATTTTTATTTGTACATGTCGGATCATGAATTAGTAACTGCATCTAATTTCTAAGAATTTTTTGTATTTGTAATGAAATACTATAGAATCTTTATGAATAAAATTTAAATTTAGATCCTTGGGTGGAATTTGGAGCATTTCAAAAAATATTGAGCAATAAACCAATCTCAAAAAATTCATTATAAATGATTAGAGTGTATTATTTAATATACAAAACGTATGTCAAACACGAGGTATAGTAGTGTAGTTGGAAAATTCGTCGTTTTGGCTACTTTAATAACGTAATATAACCTCCCTTTCCTCTAAAGTAGTCACTGCCTGAGGCCCGTAGTGTCTATTTCTACTAATAATTTGATACATTTTTTGTTGTTATTATGAGACTCTAAATTAGGTGGTATGTGGACATTTGTTGCTTCATTATCATTTTTACTGTTCTTTTCACATAGAATTTACATAATAATGAGAAATTTAATTTGGTGTTTTTGAA